AAACACAGTCTAAAATATATTGAGAAAAAAGAAATTAAAAAAAAGGGTTAATAACATCTCTACATTGAGCTTAGCTTCTTCTTGCTACGCTAACTTTGAACAGTTTAAATCATTCCTGTTCTTAAGCATAGGCTATCTGGAATTTCTTAGTCCCATATTTGTTTTGTATATAGTCTTTCTCTTTTTGTGCTTTTTTTTTTTATTCCTTCTTTTTTTCCCTTTTTTCTTCCTAACTTTCTATTAATCTGTGTCATCTTTTATCTTCTTGCTAAACTTCACTCCTTTGTCTCTTAGGAAACGATTGCCTTACAGATCAACAGCTCTTTCTCACTTCATTGATCCCGCTTCCCTCATATGCACCAGAAACTTCTCAGCCAGATTTGTGTGTGTGTGTTGGTTGCTATTGGACTATTGATCTTTTAGGAGATCGATAGTCCTAAGGTAGAAAAATAACACAAAGCATAATGAAATCAGTGGAGCTTTTGCAGAGAAGAACAAAGCTCCCTACTGTTTTACCTCACTCCTCTCATATGCGTAAGCAACCCGTCAGCTAGTGGGACAAATGTTTGCTTGTTTGTTTCTTTGGCAGAGGAACAGGGTAGAGGAAGGGCATTTCCTGACTGGCAGATCTACTGTGTGTAAGCCAGATGTCTGGTCTCTTTCTCAGCCCACATCCAAATTGTCATAGAAAGCAGTGCATAGAAAAGTCAATTGAACTGGCCAATTCCTTCTTCTTGACCGGTTCATCATTACACTTGTCACTGCATATTGCAGAGTGCTCATATTGTAAGACCTGTATCAGCAGCAGAAGAAAAACATTACTTCAACAGCAGAACTAGTGCAGATGATATCAAGCTACTGTCATAGCAGGCTGGGGATAGACAGCCAATTCGCATGACCAACTTGCCATGGCCAACTCAGTGCCAACTTACCGTGGTCAATTCACCATGGCCAGCTCATCATGGAAGGAGAGTTACCCTAATATTGAAGAAATGGTGGAATAGAAAGGATGTAAAAGAGGAGACAAAATGAAATGTGAATGACAAAAATTAAAATAATTTTTAAATATTTTAAATAAATGGAATTGTTGAATTGTCCTGCGGTGGCATGGTGAGTTGGCAAAAGAAAGCATAGAGGGTACTAATCTGATAGGCATCTGGGATGCAATCCCAAAACAACTGGAGTGCCACGTGAGTACTGTTGATGCTGACAAAATAATCATCAATCAATTGCGAAAGGCAGTTTTGCTTGAGACAGCTTACATCCTGTGATGATACTTTTAACATCTGCCTATTCCAGGCCAAATACTTTGGCCACCTAATGAGAAGGAAGGAATCACTGGAGAAG